AGACGAGTGCGGGCAAGGAATGACCTGTCCCCAGCGCCCCTCCTCAGGCCAGCCACAAAGCCTTGGGTGGGCAGGACAGGCTCCAGCAGAAAGAGCCAGAGAGACCAGCGTGGAGGCTGTGGAGCAGTGTTTCCAGTTGCCTCCATAGCAGGAAGAGTTTTTGTTTGTTTGTCTGTTTTTTTAAGCTCATTTTTCTATATATTTATTTCACGACAGAGTTGAATGTATGGCCTTCAACATGATGCACATGCTTTTGTGTGAATGCAGCCGATGCATTTCCTTGCAGTTTACAGAATGTGAAGATGTTTAATGTTACAGTGTTGTCATTGTTTAGAGATAGTTCTTTTGTATTTTGAGGGAGGGTGGGATGGGGCCGAAATGACTAGTTCCATAATGTTGACGACGACTACCTCAGTGGAAAGGGAGGGGTGTGGCCATCCCTGCTTTTTCCACGTGTTCTCAGCAGACTCATACATTTGTCTGTCAGAGAGCAAACTGCCTTTTTCTAGCCACAGAATTGCCAGGTAAAAGCACACAGCATAAAAGGGCAAAGCGGTATTAGGAGGTTCACTGAGCGACGCAGGCGAGACAGTGGAGTCGGGCGGGAGACGAGGATCGAAGCCATCTCTTTTCTTTGGAGAGCATGGAGGGTGAGAGAGCGGGGCACAGTGACCAAATCTAAATTAGGTGTCCTCCCTCTAGACGAGTCCTCAGTGGGGAGGGTTTCTGATCTCACACCTCTCTGTGCGGCCTCCCTCCCACCATCTGAACCTCAGCTGTCAGTTTCTGCCACCGGCAACTTTCATCCAGGCAGAGTCCTGGCCATAACGTAATCCTTGGGACTTGCCTGCCAGCTCCCTTGGGGCTCACAGCTACCTAGTTTCCTTACGCAGATGGACCAAGGCAAGGCCTACCTTCCTAGACTCCCTGCCTCTCCTTTACAAATTTGACTTCCTATTGGCCCTCTAAAAAAACAGCTGAACAAAATGTCATGCTCTGAATCCTGGTGCCCCGTACTGATTTATTCTCCTTTCGCCTTGCTTTCTTAAAGGGGGAGTGGGACAAAGTTCAGACTGCTGAAAGAATAAACACTCCTCCTTTGGAGTTCTCTGTTCCTCCCCCACCCCACCGCACCCCACCCCAGGACTGAATCTAAAACCTGCAGTCTAGTTTCTCTTTCAAACAGTGGAGGACTGTTCACCCATCCGCTGACCAGAATTTTTGCCCTTACATTCTACTCCAAGTTCTCCTAATCATTCCGAAACGAGACTGGGTTTCCCCAGAACTGAAAGCCCGAGGCCGGAGTGGCCCAGCTGCCCCTTGGAGCACCAGCAGCCTGGCTGCCCGAGGCCCGGAGGGCTGTCCCAAGCACCTGGAAGGGAGGGGGCTTTAAACTACCTCATGTTCTAAGGGTCTGGCTGCCCCCTCTGCAGGTACGGCCCGGACCCCTTGTTCTTTTGCTCCCTGCCCCACCTAGTCCCAGAAGATGTCCCTGACCCTCTTGGCTTTGGCCAGTGGCCACACCATATTGGTCTTGGAACTCTCAGGTGCTTCTTCCTTCTCTGCCTTACTACTGCGGTTGTCCCCGCCTACACCCAGGTACCTCGTAGCCGACAGACCAGAGGGGTATGTCCATGGGTGGGTTTGAGGGGCCTTTAGTACCTCCTGCATGTTTTGTCAAAGGCCATTTGCTCTCTTCCCAGCTCAGCCTAGCAAACTGACCAGTGGGCCACCACATGATGTGCAGACCGGGTGGTCTGCGTCAGGTCTTAAAGTTTTCCTTCCACTGAAATGTTACGGGTACCAGCAGAGTGATGACTTTGTCCCTTGATGGATCTAAAACTCAGAGCATTACTCCTCAGTGCCAGTCCCCCAACTGCTCTGAGAAAGAAAGGTGTGTTCCTCAGGAAAAGCTCTAACCAGAACGGTTTCCACATGTCAGTGGGAAGATTTGTGTGTGTATGTTTATTTCTCAGTTCACAATATTTTTGTTTCCCTGTTTTCTTTAACCAACTAGATCACATTCTTTGGCCACAGGTCAGACTCCGAGCTGCTTTCCTCAACGCAGTAGAGACACGTATCAGAGACCCCTTCTCCAGGACGGCTCTTGTGTGCAGTATCTTTCTTTGCTTAGATCTCAGTCTGTCAAATTATTATTTTTTTTTTAGATGACTTTTCTCTTAAATTAAACATTTTAGCGGTTGTGTTTGGGTGTCAAAGGAAATTGCTCTCTGATGAGGCAAGAACATGTCTCTCCAGTAATACAGCATTAAACAGAGCAAGTTGTTAATTTGTGGAGGGGGGAAAGGTTCTGCAAGTTGCCATTGTACAAATCCATTTTTACAAATGTTTGCAGCAGATTCCACAGAACAAAGAGCCCATTCATTGCCGACAGCCCTGCAGAATCTCTGAGCCAAGTGGCCGTGTGTTCTGAGCCAGAGCCTGACCTGTGGCCGCCTTTAACGTCTTCTGCACCCGGTCCTTTTATGATGTGGGCTTTTTTTAAACAGGGTAAAGTGAATGTGTTGCATTGCAAACTCAGGTATTACGAGGAGAAGGTAGGAGTGTAGCTAGCAGTGTGGAGACATTAGGTCAACCAGTAGATGTATTTGTGAATTTGGTTTGAAGGACACAGAGAAAGGTTGGAGGGGGTGGTTTGATGTATTTGTGTTTTGCCTTTCTTCCCATAATGTCTGGTTAACAGGTAGCCTTTTTGCTAGTGGAAGAAGAAAAGTCATGCATGTGGTCTCTTAATTCCCCTCTCTTCTGTCCTCTCCGATCCGCTGCCACCAACAGCACTCACTTTGAGTGAGAATTTTTCCACCATAAAAATATGACCCTGAAAGCTCTGTGGTCAAGGAGAATCCCACCTCCTTGCACTGTGTTGAAACATACAAGCTTTTCCCTTTCTTTCCCTTTGAATGTTTTCTTGACCCAAGACCAAAGTTTGGGATCTTGGAACTTTACCTACAACTTATGCTCTCTGGCTCCTTTGTAGACGGGTGGCGTCTTTCACAAGGTTTGGTCGTCTCGCCCTCATTCTGGAGAAGCTCCCCAGAACCTGTCTCAAAGCACTCCACCTGGCTCAGACGCCCAGCCCCCACGCCCGGCCCGTGAGTGAGGTGGGCGAACCTCTAGGAATAGAAGCCTGCAGGCAGGAATCCCCCCCCACCCATCCTGTTCTGCAGAACCAAAGGAGGGATAGAGGGAACCTAGAGATCTTTATGGCAACCCAGTGGCCACTCACTCTACACGAACCTGCCACCCCTTCTCAGGGAAGTGAGTACCCGCAGTGGCCAATATGTCACCAGGTCCTTACCATCTTGGGCTCTCTGAGCTAGCTGCCTTGCTCTACTACCCATTTTTTACCTTAGTTTGTTCTCGATTTCCTGGGGCTTGAGACAGATGGAGACAGATAACCCTAGCATGGACAACATCTAAGTCAAGTCCAAGGCTGGCCAAGGTAAAGGGCCCCTGGCCTCCCAGTAGGGCAGGAAGTTGAGCAGTGGTTCCAAGTCTTTAGCTCTGGGCCCCTGGTCTTTGTCTTTT